AAAAAAAATGTATTATATAAACCCGATCCAAATATGTAATATAAGACAAATTCTCAAATGTTAGATGAGATCCAGGATGCCACCATAGTAAAATATATCCCAAAGACTCTGAAGATGGTCTAGTATCTGGAGAAAATAACAGGTTAAATTAACAATAGGATCTATAATCCCAGAAGTTCAAAAGACTAAAGCAGGAGGATTGGGAGTTCAAAGCCAGCCTCAGCAAAAGTGAGGCACTAAGTAACTCAGTGAGACCCTGTCTCTAAATAAAATACAATATAGGGCTGGGGATGTGGCTCAGTGGTGGGTGCCCCTGAGTTCAGTTCCTGTACACCCCCACAAATAGGAAGAGATTCCTAAAAATATATGCAACGAGGATGAGGAATAGGTCAGTGGTAGAGCACATGCTTAGCAAGCATGAAGCCCAGGTTCAGTCCCAGCACACACACACAAAAAAAGAGTACAAAGCAAGGTACAAACAGGTATTTATACACTTGTATTCACAGCAGCTCTATTCACAGCATTCTTTAATAGATAAGCAGCTAAACAAACATGGTACTTCATACAATGGATTATTGAATGTGAAAAAGGAAGGAAACTAACACATGCTATAACACGGTAAACCTTGAAAAGATCATGCCAAGTGAAATAAGTCAGGATCAAGATAACAAATGCTGCATGATTCCAGTTATGTGAGTAATCAAATTCAAAGGAAGAAAGTAGAATGATGGTTGCCAGGGATTGGGGGAAACAGGTAACAGGGAGTGACTGTTTAAAGAGTTTGAGTTTTGCTAAATGAAAATAGTTCTGGAGATAGATGATGATGATGGTTGTACAATGATGTAGACACTTAGGCCACTGAACTGTTCACTTCAAAATGGTGAATTTTGTTATGTATGATTTAGTGTTTAAAATTTAAAAAGAAAGAAAGCTTCACAAGCCAGGCACAGTGGCACATGTCTGTAATTCCAGCAACTCGGGAGGCTGAGGCAGGAGGACAGCAAAGTTCTAAATGAGCCTCAAATATGTAGTGAGGCCCTAGGGCTGGGGATGTGGCTCAAGCGGTAGTGCGCTCACCTGGCATGCACAGGGCTCTGGGTTCGATCCTCAGCACCACATAAAAATAAAATAAAGATGTTGTGTCCACCGAAAACTAAAAAATAAATATTAAAAAATGATCTTTAAAAAAATGTAGTGAGGCCTTAAGCAAGTTGGCAAGACCCTGTCTCAAAATAAAAATTAAAAAGGACTGAAGATGTGGCTCAGTAGTGGAGCATCCCTGAGATAAATCCCCAGCAGAAAGGAGAAGGGGCAGGGGGAAAGGAAGGAAGGAAGAAGGAAAGAAGGAAGAAATAGCTTGACTTGAGTTTGAAAAACAAATGTGTACATATATGCACGCGTGCGCACATGCATTATAATTTCTGGAAGGATATGAAAGATTAAATACAGTACGCTGAGACCAGGTATTGGAGTAGGAAAGCTGACCTTCTTTTTTTTTTGTTTTGTTTTGTTTCTGGGGATTAAACCCAGGAGTGCTTTACTACTGAGCGGCATCCCCAGACAGTATCTCACTAAATTGTTGGAGCTAGCCTCCAACTTGATTTCCTTCTTCTCAGCCTCCAGAGTTTCTGGGAGATTACAGGCATGTGACACTGTACCCAGTGAGGTTATTACACTGATTACATTCTTGTGTACTATTTCAAACTTTGTATGAATATTTTTTTTTAAAGACTTCCTTTGTAAATTATAGAACCTCAAAATAACAAAATATATAGAATTCAGTCACCATTTTGATTTAGTGTTCAATGATATACTGGGAATAAAAGTCTTATTTTTATTACTGATTATATACCAGGTCTATGTTAAACATATAACATTTATTCTCACAATCTTATGAGTTATGATGATCAACAGTACCATTTTACAGATGAGATAACAAAGACAGAAAATTGGGTTCCTAGGAGATGAGATTGTGGCTCAGGGGTGGAGCGCTTGCCTAGCACATTCAAGGAGCTGGGTTCGGAACTCAGTACCACATAAAAATAAATAAATAAAATAAAGGTATCATGTCCAACTTCAACTAAAAAAAAAAATTTTTTTTTTTTTTTTAAGAAAATTGGGTTCCTAGATTAAAGGTCCCATGGGGGTAAGGGGCCTCACTGAACCTTTTGTTTTTTGCAGTATTGAGGATGGAACTCAGGGCCTTATGCATACAAAGAACATGCTGTACCACTGAGCTACATTCCCAGCCCCTTCGTTGAGATTCTAAAGCCAAATACTCAGGCTCTAGAGTTTATGCTTCTAACCACTATGCATTAATACCCTTCAAAGAAAAAATACTGAAAAACTGGTCTTTTTTAGTGGGTTGGGAGGTCTGGTTGGAGATTGAACCCAGAGTCTTGTACATGCCTGGCAGGTGCTCTATCATTCAGGTATATCCCACCCTGGAATAAGACTGCTCTTGTAAGAAAGACCACTTAGATAGTCAAGTGCATATTAACTGCATTCTACTGTTTTTATTACCACACTGACTCTGCCATGCTAGAGAACATTGTTCCCAGGGTTGCAACTGTGACATAATATCTGGTATCACAGCTGGCTTGCAATATATGACCCTGTTTGCAATTTTCAGTTTGAAAAAAGCTGGGGTGGCTGGGCACAGGTGGCGCACACCTGTAATTCCAGAGGCTTGGGTGCTGAGGCAGGAAGATTGCAATTTCAAATTCAGCCACAGCAACTGTGAGATGCTAAGCAACTCAGCAAAACCTCTCTCTAAATAAAATACAAAACAGGGATGGGGATGTGGCTCAGTGGTTGAGTGCCC